ATAACATGCTTCTCATGTTTGCTGCCTTGCTGTATGAAAAGGGTTTTTTTTTTCTGCCTTGCTGTATGAAAAGTTTTTTTTTCCCCTAAATTGCACTGTTTCCTTTCAGAATAACTATGGCACTTTTGTTCTTAAATTTGTGTACACTGGAATTTGAGTATTACTTGTATTTGCAGACAAAAGCTGCTTAGTATCCAATTTCGTATGCTGCCTTAATATTCATTCTTCAGTTGGTCCTTTTCAGTTTGGCTCTCTGATTCCTGTAACACTGAAAATGAAAGATTATGCAAAACCTTGTTTCCAGTGACTTTTTGCCTATTCCTGTTTTTAGCGTGTGACTTTACCTGTACCTTTGGAGGATTTATCTTATACTTTCTACTTGTTACAGTGACTATTAAAACATGGTGTTATATTTTTTGGATGATAAAGTAGTCAAATAGAAGTGCATTGCTGACTCCCAAATTTTCATGTGAACAAGACAGAACTGATAAAAAATGTAGAACATTTGCAGCTTCTGTTACTCATTCCCAGACATTGGAATATTGTGAATCGGTCAAAAGAGGCTGTAAGAATGAGTGCGTTTAATTTCTTTATATATGCTGTTGTGTGTTTAAACATTGACACTTCACATGTTCAGTTTTTGCTCTGTAGGCGTGAGAACTGGGAACCATCTTCCCTTACAGGGAGAGGAAAGCTGTAATGGCTGGTATGGTCATGTGAATCCCGTATCTAGAGCTTTAAGAACAGCATCATGAGGGCAGATAAAATCGCAGGAGCTGACAACAGAGCACTGCTTCAACATTAGAACAGGAAACAGTATCAAGGATATGGGAAGAACTGCAGATAGTTTTCATAATCTAACATATTTTCCATACATGAACTATTGCTTGGCTGGGGAGCAGATTCCTCAATGGCATTATGAGGACTTCTACAAGGCCACCTGTTTACTGCCCCCTAATGACAGTCTTTCTGTGTTTCATGGTAGTACTTGTCTTCTTTCCACTTCTTTCCAGCATAAACACTACAATAGTACTTTGGTGTATGGCTTGCTCAAGATATTTTGATGCTTCTGATCCAACAGTTGTCTTCTACGTTTCTTTGTAGAGAGCCATCATGCATAGAAGATACTGACGGTAGGCTGTTAGCCCTAATGATATTTCTTTATTGGGAGAACATCTGTTAGGTTTGTGGTGACAACAGCAGGAGATATTTTTGTCAAGTGCTTATACCATGATTCAGGCTGTTTTATAGACTAGTAACTTAGATACTTTTTGTGTCTAAAAAGGAAAATTGCATGCTACCGTAGGCTTTTCACCCATAAATCTTAATGTAATCTGTTATTTCTGTGCTTTAATATGACAGGCATGTTATTGAAATGACACCCATTAGATCAAATTCTCCCCACATCTTGCAGAAGATAAGTTGTGAATTTTGGTCCAATGAATTTTCAGTCTTTCTGTAGTCAGATGGCACTGTATTTTTTTTCCATCTTACTTTTTTCTGCCTCTCTGATTTCAGAAAATCAACTGTGAGCAGTCTGATCCAGCAGCCCTAGATAAGCCTAGGATTTTTTAAAAATCTGCGCTGAAATTAGCTCAGAGTTACTTCATGGTGTATTTCCTTTATTGCAGTCATTGCTGAAAGAATGGCACTCAGGTGAGCAGTGGTTAATGGCATTTCATTAGGGACAGAATTTTTTAGAATTTAGAAGAAATTCAGAAGAAATTATCTGATCTTTTTCAGCATCCTGTATTCTGACTATATTCTTGTTTAATACAAAACCTGACTGTACTAATAGCAAATTTTCAAGTTGCCTTGAAAACCAAACACTGACATTTCTTAACTATGGTGCACCCAGTATTTAATTCAAAACAGTCTTTCTTGAATCGAGTTTTCTAACAGCAGTGGTAGGAAGGGAACTTGCACCGGTATCCTTCAAGTATTGAGAATATGTTTTGGTCCTGTGCTGTGCTAAATCTATTTAATGCCAAAATCTCCAGCATTTAGGGTTGGTTTCTTTCAGTCTGCCCTCAAGGATTCTGCTTCTAAGTCTTCTTGGCCTTCCCTTGGAAAAGGAGATAAATGTGTATCTACAAGGTACCTCAGTCTTACAGACTTAGGGAATGATTCAGAGAAACTGTTGACTACAGAGAGAGTTGAGCGAGACTTGTTTCTTATCTTGGCCACTAACCTGGAAGCTTGAAGTGAGCCAAGTGAATAAGCATGTAGCACCCCTGTTTCCTTCGACAGGCCTATTTTTCTCTGAAGATTCCATTATTTATGCCTTTAGCCCATTATTTATGCCTCTATTCCATTATTTATGAGAATTGAGAGGACAGAGCATGTCTGAAGTTTATGCACATACCGGTGGCATACTAGAGTACTTAAAACTGGTGCATATATTCTCTGTGTATTGCAATATTTTGCGGCAAGAGGAAAAGAAACAGTATCAGGGAATATATAAAGAGTAGGTATAATGCATTTAGGTTTACCTATAGGACACTTTATTAAATTCTCATTGATGATATAGGAACAATTAGCACTATCTCTAGTTTTATTTCGTATTCACCACAGAAATTGGTGGAAAAAACTCATGTAGATGTTCAGGTGATGGAAAACTGGCAAAATTGGAAAACTGGAAAAATTAAGTTTATGCTTGCTGAGTAACTGATGATGATTTTAAATAGGTTTAGTGTTTTTCATGAGGTCTTTTCCTGTAGAAGGAAAACTATAATGTGCTGTTCAGTTGCCTATAAATATTTACTTTGCTATTGTACGAAACTAGCAATTCGTGGTGTTTAGAGAAGCATGTCCTTCACAATCCAACATTCTTTTCTTGAGCAGTCACTGAAATCAAATTTGGATACAACAGTCCCTTTTAAAATCTGTGGTGGTAAGTTGTCAATGCAAAGACTGAGGTTTATTGTTGCTTTCAGGAGTTGGCAAGAAAGAAAATGTTCAAGGTTCTCCTTTAGTATGAACATTTGCCTGAAGTAGCTAGTATCCACAATGCCAATAGATCACAGAAACAGAGGAACATAAGAAGCCCACTCTTTTCATTGGCACACATTTAATGTTTCTCCTAGGTTAAATCTGCGGCATCTGTACAACAGTGGTGGTAACTCTGCTCTCAGTTATACACTTGTGCTTGGGATGATTAAGATCTCATGTACCTCCAAAATATTCAATATCACCTCCTCTTCACAAGAAGAGTCAAAAAAATTGATGATGAATACTATTTCTGTGTGTTTTCTCAATTCTTTGAAAATACAATTTTGTTGTTTATTGATAACATAAGTTTTTTACTCCTGAGACAAACTCTTTGTGGAGTCATTGGTCAGCATTTACCTTGTATTACACTGGGTGGAGTTGGGCACTTTTGCCTGGGATTTGCAAGAAGTGCGTCTTGATTGGGAGTTTTCCTTTAGGAAAACCAGCTGGATCTTATGTTTGTTTGTCTTGAAGAACCTAAGAAGCAGCTTCTGAGTGCCCTAATCACTGGGTTGTGTAGTGATGATCCTGCTCCCTATTATCTGGCCCAGCAGAACTGTGTTCTTTTTTACAGAATATCATGATTTCAGGGGATAGTGTGCTCTGATTCAGGAGTCGTCTGCGTTCAGCTAGTTGTGATACTCTACTGAGTTGTAGATCTAATTTTTAACTGCTTCAGGCTGAAGAGGGAATTGAACTCAACAGCCCCATTTCCTGAGGGAGCACTGTAGCCACTGCACTGTTAGAAAGGGCAATTTTATGCCATTTCTCTCTCTTTTTTTTTTTTTTTTTTTGTCTGTGCTTTCAAAAGTAGTTAGTGGCAGCTGTGTTTTGGGAGATCTGTATTCATAACAGAGCTGTGTTATTCCTCTGTTACCTGTACTCAGACCTCCCAAGGGGGCCTAATACGGGCTGTGCAAACCAAGGTTATGGAATTCAGGGAAGCCTGCCATGAGTAGCTGCTAAGCTGCTATATTCCAGCATGACCAGAAGCAAAACTTCGGGCAGACTTTGAAGACTTTAATATGAAAATGTAGGCAAGTGTGGACTGCAGGAAGTTACATAGTCAAGCAGGGATTGTCTAATTCCTAAAGGTCACCTAAGACCTTATCTTTATCTGTGCCTGGTGAGGTGTTACTTGCGGGTAAGGGCAGTAAATTTAGCTGAGATATCCTGAAATCTTGGATTGCAGCGTTTGCAACTTCTGAATAAGCTGTTGATTAAGAAAAAAACTTCTGACAACCAATTAACTCTCTCCAACATTCTTTATATTTCTCTTATTGTGGGAAAGGGTGATGATCAGATTACTGACCTTGTCAACTCACTCAGGCTGTACCTTTTCAATAGACAGAGCTACCACTCTTATTATTCTCACCGTGAGCTGGCTGTTGCACATGTTCAGGTAACTCCACTGTCTTTAAGCTGACCGTCAATTTACATCCTGCTTGCTAGATAAGACCAGTAGTAGGACAGTGTTGAGACTGAATCACTGGAAAAGGAAGAAGCTTATCAAATGTGAGATACTGCTAGCATACAAAAGGTGCATACAACTGCACAAATGCAGTTTTCTTAATTTCTGCTGTCTGTACAGTGTCTACAGTGTCTAGTAACCAGGGGTATCAGAAATAGATGATAATTCTAATATTATCAGCAAGGAAAGTTTTCTTACGAATAGTCTTTGTGCCATGCTGGCACAAGAGACGTTGCAGAATGATGGAAAATTATGCTGTAAATCCCACTTATGCCTACAGTCTTCTCAGTCAAGGCAGTAAAACGGGCAGTGAGGTTGGTGTCGGGGTATAAATCTAGTCTCTCTGCAGCAATTCCTTAAGAAATAATACAACTTCCATTTGTGCCAGTCAGTCTGGTAACCTGTTCTTCACAGAAGGGCACTTACAGCAGAGCCAGCCAAAGGGATAACCCACAGAGACCGGCATTTACAAGACTAATAATATATATGTTGTAGACTTCAGACTCTTGAGGTTCTTTGGGGAGAGGCTGTCAGGGTAATGGATGCATTTACACTCTTGTGTCCTGTCACAACCAACTTCAATGTGATTGATCGTCCTGACAAAGAGGATAAACTATTAGTCATCCTTTGGGAAGACATTACTGGAATTAATAATCCTATCATTCAATTTCACCTTATCATAGGAAAAATTGTAATTATTTTTAGTCAATTTTGAATAAAGATATATTAACTTCATAACAACAGTTTCAGTCTTGCTATTAAATATTCATTTGGAATTTTGTTTTTGTTTCTGTTTAAAAAGTATGATGATTTTCCAGTATATGAGATCATAGTCTTAATGAAGTTATGTTTAAAAAATATATATTAAATACATGTTTAGGCTTTTGCAAAGGTTTGAATTTTTGTACTTTGTGCAGCTTAATTGAATTCAGAAAATAATTTTTTTCTATTCTTCTATATTCCATTTATAGAACAGAAAATATTAGTTGCAAACTCTACAGAATACTATGATGTTATAATTTTGTAAAGTACTTAAAAAATGAGACAGCATTATTGTGCATAATAAGTGGAACAGTCCTTATCACTTCTATTGTCACTTAAAACAAAGATTATAATAGTTGCTTGATTCCTTAATAAAAGAAACTTAAGAACATGGAGCTCTTGAATAGTTAGTAATGGATTATTTTTAATTATAAAATAAGCTGTATTTAGCCTTATTGCTTTAATTATGTATTTTACATTTTTTCAAATGAAATGCCTATCCAACTTCTAGTTCATCAGAAATGTTTAGAAATTTCCATGAAGCTGTTAAGTATGGATATTGGGTGAACTAAACTAAATTATATGGATTACACTAGGCTGTCCACCAAGAAGAAAGTTTACATTCAACGTTTTGTTAAGAATTTAAAAGCCATTTATAGCATATATTTAAATCATATAGCTGTTCTGTGTAATGGGAAGGACTGCTATTGAAAACACAAGAGTTGCTAATTGACACCAGAATGATAAAACTGTGCTCTTTTGTTTTTCAGGTCTTAGGAACAGATGAGGATAATATGGGGAATGGTTGCTCTCAGAAACTGGCTTCTGCCAAGTTCCTTCGACTTTTGCTTCTAATACTGATTCCATGCATCTGTGCCCTTATCCTTTTGTTGGTGATCCTGCTTACCTTTGTAGGTGAGTGCTAATGGAGTAAATTGACACATTTTTAATTTAATTTAAAACAGACTGCATTCTCAAGTCCTAATGTAGTTGTGGACATCATTGAAGATATATCTTAGCACATCTCCCTAAGAAACTAATCTACCTAGTGACTTAATAATGTTTGTTGCAGAGAAATAAATGTGCCATTTAGATTTATATATTTAAAATGTATTTAAAGTACCGAAGAGGAAACCTTTTCTGAATTTCTCAAAGTAGATTTTTGAGGAGCACACTACCTTGAGCATGTAGTATGTAGATGGTTTTCAGCAGTCATTTTACAAGTACAAAATGACGTTTCTGTTAGAACTTTAGATCACTGTCAGTGGAATGGAATATTTATCCCTTCATGGCACACACTGATGTGCAAATCTGATTTTTATTTTAAGGTGGAAGTTAATTTATAAATAGCCACAAATCTTTCTGAACAGCCTACAAAATATTACTGTTTAACTAAGGAAAAATATGGTCATTTCTTCTGAATATGAAATATGTATCAATGCAGAACCCCAAGTATGTTTTGTGGAAATTTGTCCCAGGTATATTAGATTTCATAATGGCTTAGTCTGTTAAGTAACTTTGTGTCTGTTACAGAATTAAAAGGTAATAATTTATTACAAAAAATTTTTTAAAAAGCCTTCCCTTTGTTACCTTTAGAGAAGCTGACATATCATTAAATTGCTTCAACTACAACGTGACAAAGACAGTAAAGCTAGGTTAAAGCATTACTTTTTCAGGAGAAAAAAAAGTAAAAAAAATCATCTGCTTTCAGTGCTGAGGGTTTCTGGGATTTTTACTTCTTTTTTTTTTGTTAATGAGAATATTTTCTAGTTGAGCTTCCTTAAGTACTTCTGAAGCACATCTGTAACAAGTGGGGTAATGTGTGAGGTATATAGATGTAAATCTATTTTCCTATTTTAAAGCCCCAACTTCAATGCACTTCATACAATCAAACAGTTAGCAAGCACAGGAAGAAACTAAACACGTCTCAATAGCACCTTCAGCACTGTCAAAATCAAGACAACTTAAATCTGTTTTCTCAATTCAGTCTGTAAAGGATTTGCAACAAGGTGTTGTAGGCCTGTTATTTTCATTTAGCTCAAGTTAGGGAAGTAAAAAAACCCAAAGCTAGTGAATGTTGTGATTGACAAGTAAGTCTTGGGATGTATCTTTAAATTAAGAACAGTCTGAAGTGTATTAAGATCAAGTAAGTCTGGCAATTAGGAAATATGATGCCATTCAATTTACTTTCCTTATGTTTAGCATTCCATTTGTATCCTTCATATCCTCTGCCCTAGATTTTCATTCTTTGGTGAGAAAGCAGATAAAAAAGCAGGTGTATTTATGTCAGCTCTACTCAATCTCCTTCTCTGAGGCATGTATCGACATAACACTCATTAAAATGTATGAAATCCTCTGGGGAAATGGGGCCTGTTCTGATCCTACTTGCGTAGCAAAAATCGGGACTATCTCCTCTTAAGTCAATGTGATTACTGTAGGCTGAAGAATAAGGCTTGGTGTTATTACCCAAGTCTAAAACTGGCAAAGCTCCCTTCAGCATCTTTTGAATTAGCATGATTATAATTTAGTATTCTTCTCTCTCAGTTAGCAGCTTTCATTTTATGTGCATTGAGTTCCTAGAAACAATGTATCTGATGAATGGAATTAAAAGAACAAATTTTGTGGGCATCTTTAAAATGTGCATAATATAATATAGTCTGTCTATTTATTGAGAATACACTATGTCCAGAATAGTAGTTCATATTCATTTCAGATCAATAATAACTGAATTCTGTTACAGTCCAATACTAGTATGATAACTTACAATGTAAGAAATGAGTTGATAGTCCTGACTGGCTAACACAAATTATTCGATATATCGGAAATTCTGTTCTTATTTTTTCGTGAAATGGAGGAGTTAAATTCTGTGGTTGTCATTCTAGTACCTTTCACTGGGGCTTAAAACATAAATAGAGAGCTCCAGTATATAATTTAGAACTTTATGAACTGTTTTGATTTGACTTTGGTAATGAACTCATCAGAAAACTAGGCCTTTCATATTTTGCAAGAAAGTATTTTGTTTCCTGTGGTAAATTTATAGGTGATTATTATTTTCCTTCTGTAATATTTTTTTAATTAAATGAGGCATATACACATGAAAAAGTGTGCGTGCACCTTAGAACTTTCCTATTCACTTTCCTTACATCTGTTTTGTTGTCTGCACATCATTGCAAGCTCTGATGTTGAAGAAACTGAAAAGTTGGTATAGGTGGAAGGAGACAGGTAGAGCAGTACAGTTATATTGTAGTAATAGAGAATATCCTACTTGAGGTGTGTCATGGGGGCCTGTTTTCAGAATATGTCATTAATCAACCTTTCAAAAATTATTTACCATCAAAGTATTCAAGATGCAAAGCCCTTGAAAAAGTTATTTCGTTAGAACTGTGTACAAAGAAAGGACAAAGCAAATTCTCAGTAGAGATACACATTATTTTGACTAAAGATATAAGAGACTTTTATGGTCCATAGAAGACTATATCAAGCTGAGTTGTTTAGCTTTGATTTCTCGTAACTACTTACACTCTGGCTCTGCATACTCTTGAGACTCCTGAGAACACAGAAGGAGCTGTGTCTCCTTCACAGAATAAACATCAGGAAAAGTATATTATAGTAAAACTGCTAGGCTTAGCTTTGTGGCTGTTGGATCTTCCACATTCATAAGGTAACATGCATATGTCAAGACTCCTGTATCAATTTGGGAACCCAAATGTACTGGCCCATAAGGAACTTTTTGCCACACAGAGGAAGTTGAAGTTGCGGGGAGTTATAGTTATACTCTAGAGTAAAAGGATCTTGATCCCTCAATCATTTGGAAATGCTGGTAGTTCTCCAAGTGATGTCGAGCCTCGAGGCATATGTCACGTCCTCAAAATCTGAAGCGACTAGCAGCATGGAGATCCAAAAGTTGTAATTGTGAAAGCAACATGAAATATAAATGACAATGGCAATATTTGCTGTAAGACAGGTGTCTAAATTTAGGAGTTTAACTCTAACATATAAATAAACCATTTGGTCCTGGGAGTTTTTCTGATGGAAGATGGTAATCATCAGCTAAATGATCTGCCAGTTCTTTAATTTGATCTTGCCAACACAGCTATATTATGGGGAATGTCCAAAGGAGTATATCCCAGAGCAGCCGGTATTTCACCCATCTATAAGAACTAATTTAATCTATCAACCTTCTTTACTGATACACCTGGAACGTTGGGAAAAAAAAAAGATGCTGTGAATACAGCTCCAGGTCAGAATGTCTGCTGTGAGACATCACTGAAGTCAGTGGGGAATTGTTCTTGTGATCTAGAGAATAATAATGAAAATCTGGCAGTCCACCCAGCACAGATGGACAGAAGGTCACAGTGACTGAAGCATGGATTCTGGTGTGGCATAACTGATTCCCCAGGAGCCCATGGAGCTTTATTCATTAGCCAGTGTAAAGTGGGTGTTTAACACAGGCGCAGAGTTCAGGATTGGTTTCTGAATTGCAATATAGCCATTATGTATTACATTTCATTTCTTAGGTTAAGAAAAGTTTTATAAATAAAAATTTCTAGTTGCATGACATATCATGCTCAAGAGACAGGAAAAAAGAAAGACACCAGATAAGATTTTTTGTTAGACCACAGTGTTATGACTGTAACTGGGAACTTTCAGGCAACAGCTGTTAATATGAAAGCTAGATACTGTCTTTCCCTCCAGCCCTTTAGTACGATCCTGATATTTTTGCTGAGATTTCATTGCCTGAAAGCCAGAAGTTGATGAAAGGGAAAATCTCTCCTTTCTGCACAGGATCTTAGGAGCCCGGCTTTGTTCTGCAGCTTCTTTAAAAGATGCCTTCCACAAAGTGTACTTTGAGTTCCATTTTATCTGGGAACTGATCCATTATTTGCATGTCACCTGTTAAGTTGGAAAAAAAAAAAAAAATTACAGCTGACCTCCTTTTTGACCCCTTGGGCAGCTGGTAAGCAGTTTAAGTTAATGTCTTTACTTGATAGGAGGAGCAGGATAAAGTCTATTATTGCCCTCAGCTGATGTGCAATTGTTTGGTATGCTATGAGACCTCCATATTATCAGTGATGTGCCCGTTTCTTCAGAGTGCAGAGTCATAGGGACAGACCCTGCAGAAGAAATCTCAGTGGGTACATGCTGGCTACTTACAGTAGTGAACCAGCGTTTTATTGCATGTGTAACTGCCTCATCCATTACACATACTTTGGTAGGCTGCTTTGCTCTGTTTCATTAGCTTTTTAAACAAACTTTGTCTTTTTGAGATTTCCTGCTGTGAACTGCTAGAAATCACCCACAGTATACACTGCCAAAATCTCCATTTAATAGCTTGAACAGTGTGACTATTTCTTAGATCTCATAACTGTCCATTTCAGATCTTTAAATAAAACATTAATTCCCCAATAGTGAAGAGCAACTGGAAAATGATCAGTAAAACTGTTGGCAAAGCATCGCTTTGAACTGAATGAGCCTGGTGCCAGTTCCTTGGTTTTGTACCAAACACAACGAAGGCCAGCATGCTGTATATTTCTGTCATCTGGACATGTCCAGCTGTAGCTGGAGACACAAATCCAAAATGGTTACAGCTATTTCTCAACTAATTAACTATCTGGCTTACAATTTACTGTCTCCAGCTCTATGATTTACTGTCTCCAGCTCTGCATGAACTCGGATCTGAAGAATAATTGGATATAGTGTGCATGTATCCATGAATAAAATGCATGTTCTGCGTGTGTTGTATGGCTGTTAGCAGACATTGATAGAGAGTAATTCAGTTCTCATTACTGAAGAGATTAAAAAAGAATTGATTGTTTTAAAGCATCACAGTTTTTTCTTAGGTATCTTAACATTTAAATAGTTCCTTCAGGGCTTTTGATGCTATAAAAAATCTCCAGTAAGCTTAATTTAAGATT